TGTGGACTTCAACTCCCAGAGTTCCTCAGCCAGCTTTGCTGGCTGAGGAACTCTGGGAGTTGAAGTCCACAGGTCTTAAAGTTGCCAAGGTTGGACACCACTGCTCTAGTGTACAAGGGCTTGGCGCTCGTTCTGCTCTCATTTTCCTCCACTGGAGACAATGGATCCCCACAGCACCGCCCAGGCCCCCACAGATGTCACCTGACACTAGTGATGTTGACATGGCCACGCCCACCCCAGCCCCCCAAGGTCAACCACAACCCTGATGCGGCCCTCATCTAAATTGAGTTTGGCACCCCTGGTATATGTAATATTATTTGTATTATAGTACAATAATTTGTATTATTTGTATTATAGTAGTATTGTAAGCATGCCTTAACCATTCTTTGGCCATATATTACTCTTGTGGACTTTAAACGAGCTATTTCAGGCTAACTGGCTCTATCAAAAATAAGTAATCGGAACAGCACATAACCCAAAATAGGGTGGGTGTAGGTGTAGAAACAAAAATAACATTCCCAAATACAACATTTACAAATGAAATATTGCTACCTTAATCTGCATTACGTCAAGTTGAACTGTCTCTCCTCTCAGTATGGACAACGTGGCATCAGTGATACACCTTAGGGGGAAAAAACAGAGAATAACATAAGAGGTCAAGCGGCAGTATGTAGCTTTTACACATGTGGTAGTAAAATCCATCACCAATTAAAACATCTTTGGTAGCAGAATTGGGAACGCTGCTACTGATCACTGTTGAGGGCCTTGGGATCAAGTGAGTGTCAGCCTAGCCTGATATAATTAGCATCTTCTAACTATCTTCTAGTACAGTGATGGAGAACTTTTTTCACTTCGGGTGCCAAAAGCATGCGCATGAGCGCTATCGCAGGTGTCTATCAGGATCTGATAGAGAAGTATTATTCTCCTACACTGACATCTTGGAGTTGAGGCTGCTGCAACTTATGAAAACCATGTGGATCTTTCTCAGACAGCTCCCTCCCTCCTTAACTCACCTATGTCAGTAATACCCTCTTTATCCCTAATCAGGTCATGAATGACATTGCTCTTGTTACAAAAAGACATGGCCTTCAATAACTTGAGAGGGGCTATCCTGGCCCGCCAGCAGAGCTGGAAGCAGATTCGGACAGTGAAGAGGTTGGGGAGGAACATGGGCCAGTCCTGAAGTCTAGGGAAGGCTCTGATGAGGGCTCTGTGTTGGGGGCAGAGCTGTATGCCAGTTATCAGCTGTCTTCAGAGTCAGACATCAGTGAGGCAGATGAACAGCTGGATCCTGTTCCCAGTGTGCACATGCGCAGAGTTGCCAGATGAAGGGAACTGCTAAAGAACAGGGGTCGACTTGGGAGCAAGGCCACAGATGGACGATGAATGGCCCCCTCCCAGAGGAAATAAAAGAGGAGCAAAAGGGGAGTGGAGTTTGCAGGAGACAATTAGTTCGCTTAATTGGTTTGTGACTCTCCGAGACTCCTTGCCAAGGTTTGCAGATATTGGCCCGTCAGCTCTCCAAGCCAGATAAGGTCTGTGACTGTAAATCTTCCATTGAAAGACTTTGCTGGATGTGAATGAACAGAATTCAGTCAATTAATAAAAGGGGATTTGTCAGGACAAGGAGTCTGCTTCATGCTCTTGGGAAGCCTAGGTCAGAACAGGGACTTCAGCAAGGTCAACAAGCTGGTATCAGAGAGATGGAAGGGCGGTGGGGGGAGATTGGTTTTGTAAAACATACCAAGCCAAAAGCAAACAAAACACATTAAGCCTCTGTGTGATCTTCATAATAGGTTTTAAGCTGTCAGATGGAGTTTTGTATCTTCATTTAAGAAGCAGAGAGAGGCAATCTTTCAGAACAACAGATTTCACAATATTGCTAGAAAAGTTCCATATCATACAAAGCTCTTTTTAAAGGAAGGTCGAAATATAAATAGATTAAAAATGAAACATGCTTTTTTTAAAAAAGTAATTAAAAAGTAAATGGATTTTCCATCGATGTCACCATGAATTCATACTTACTGGACTTGGTTATCGTTCTTCGCATAAAGTGTATGACTTAAAGTGCTGGTTTTTCCAAGAGGAATGAATCCGATGGGAAT